GCTCCAGCTGTAAAGACATCCCACCGAGGATACTGTGGTCCTGGATGGTACTAATGCTGTTGGCAACTGCTACTCCAATTTAATCCTACCACTAACTATCCCCTAGGAAGGGAGACTTTCAAGGTTTAACAATAAAAGAATATTAAAAGGCCTGTGCATAGAGGTAGAACAACCACATTAACCTTTCAAATGCTAGGCAAAGCGAACATTCTAAACTCAACAAAAGCAGATCACCTCTGCACAGCCTAGAGTTCCAGCCATGCCCTTTCTAACTCTTGGGATCTTTTTTTCTGCCTCTGTAGTTTCTGCTCCCATTCCTTTACTGGCCATTATCTACATTTATGGTTAATTAATAAATACCCATTTTGTGTCCTAAGGAAAGTAGGATGCTCATGCTAATTGCATTATGCCTGTGTTTAAAATCGTTCAAAGGCCCCCATTGTGTACATCATAAAATTCAAACAGAAACATAGAGAAACTAAAGATCCTCATGTCTAGTCCCAACTTGCCCCTCAAATGTCCTACACTTCAATCAAACCAGATGGGCTACCATTTGTTTTCACTTGGATCATTCACACATTTTCAATCACTTCGGAGTAATAAAATCTTAACCTCTCTTCAAAGCCTAAAATCAGCCACCACCTCTTCTATCAAGCATTACTACACTCGAGAATCAGAACTCAAATTACTTTTTTGCGCACATAGCACTTCTTCTATCTTTTATGCTTATTTGCACATATATTTATTTTCCAGCAAGCAACTGGTAAACACAGAGGACAAGACTTATGTTACACACACACACACAAACACACACACACACAAATACACGCACACTCAGAGCCCATTATCTTATCTTGAATATAATAGATTTCTCTTTAGATAGTGGCAGTTCTAAACTTACTAATAAAGTGTTTCAAGACTTTTAGTTCCAATTTCTCTCCCCAAGAATCTCATTTTTGAGAGCTCAATTGTAATCTGTTTCCCCCCTATGCATTGGTGACTCTGAACAAATGGAAGTCAATTGTTCTTGAAACCCAGGTTTCATAATACAATATCACAATATTTTGATGAAACCCCCCTCAATGCTTGCATTTTTAGTATGCATTACTTGGAAAATTATACAATGACAAATGGCTAATATAATTCAATAACTCTTTAAAGCATATTTGCATTTTATTAACCACTGTAATATTTGCATTTATTTGGAAAGTAGAGATTGTAAAGACTGGTTATTCTATACACAGCAAGGTTTGAGCTGGTCTATACACTGCTAATCCAGGGACATCTTGCAAAAATTCCTTCCATATTTTAACCCCTCACATTCTGTGACCTATGATTGTGAATGTGAATGTCAATCAAGTAGCTATTGCTTGACCTAAGTTCAAGCAGCCAACTTCACTTTCAACTTTCTGCTCTATGAGAAAAGGAAGAAAACTCTACCCAAGACCAAATAAATGGTTCTGATTAGATGTTTCAGGATATAGAAAAAGTAGAATTGAAACTGGCCTTAAGGTTTCCAGACCAAATGCCTGAGAGAATAAAGATACTACAACCAAGATAGGGACTAGCAGTGGTTCTCAACCTTCCTAATGTCGCGACCCTTTAATACAGTTCCTCATGTTGTGGTGACCCCCAACCATAAAATTATTTTCGTTGCTACTTCATAACTGTAATTTTGCTACTGTTATGAATCATAATGTAAATATCTGATATGCAGGATGTATTTTCATTGTTCGCGACCCACAGGTTGAGAACCGCTGGTAGAGGAAGAAGAGTTGGTTAGGGAAAAAAGTGGTGAGGGCAGTTAGGCAGTCATTGAATCTGAGATAGTTAAGTTGAGATATTTAGGAAATAATTGGAAATGCAGGTCTGGAGGTCATCATGAGCAGAGACAGAGGTTTGGAAAACATCTGTAAAGGGCACAAGAGTTATAAGAGTAGATGAGCTGCAGATTCAGAAAAAATTCAGCAATCTTGGAAACACCATACTTCAAAGGCAGCTGGAGAAAAAGAAATTAAAAAGGCAGAATAGACAAGAGAACACAGAAGAGGACTAGCATTTGCTGACCACCACCAGGCATTTGGCCAGGTACTTTAAATATGTGATCTCATTTAGCCCTCATCATTTACTCTTGACCTGAACATTGCCAGTTATGCCCACTACATGGGTGAGGCGCCTGAGAGTATCAGTGAGCAATGGCATAAATCAAAATCTATATTCATCGTGGAAGGACCAGGAAAGTTCATGAAGAAAACCAAGGGAGATCAGAATTTCAAATTGTCAAGGAGGCTATCAAGGAGAATGAAACTCAGGCAGACACTTGGATAGTCCATGTCAAAGATGTTTCCAGCCGTTCAGAACAGTACCAAGGGAATGAAATAGGTGGAAGTTAAACTGTAGGTTTGGTCCATGAGATGAATCACAATGAGTCAAAAAGTTAGCTAATAATACCTATGCAATGACCAATCTAGAAATATACAGACAACAGATTGCTGTTACCACAAAACTTATTACAGGGATTTAAACCCACACCCATCCCAGAACATGGCAGTAGCAAAGTCTCACACATTTCATTGACTTGTGTTGTATTTTTATATGTTTTACCTTTCATGTTCCTAATATCTTAACTCACAAGCCAATACCTCTTGCCATAAATTAAAGATAATAAAAAATAAATCTTAATTATTAAAATTTTAACTATCTATCACCACCGACAGTTTGAGAACCCCAGTATCACCAGCAGGCCTCTCACACTTACAGAAACACTGGCTGATAGCTTGGGTAATATGAGCAGCAAGTAGTTATTGGGTAATATGAATAGCAAGTAACTATTGGGACTATGTACACTTTTTATTATTTTAGTAGATTCTCACAACAATTCTAAGAAGTAAGGACTATTATTAATTGACTTGTTTATTTGATAAATATTTTTGAGTACTTAGTCCTAGTGTCAGTGTTCTACATACTAGGGAAAAATCAAAACCCCTAGTTAAATCGGTGGTGGGACAGAGAGGGGAGTGAAGAGAAACAAAAAACTAAATATATATAAAATGCCAAGTGGTTAAAAATGTTTTGAAGGGGGGGGATATATATTTCAGTTGGGAAAACTGAGGCACTGAAGCAATGTCTGACTTGCAGAGAGGGCAAGGAAATGTTTATGAAGTGATGAGCTGGAGGTCAAATGCAGGGAGACTCTGGAGCAGACTCCTGGCCACTCCTGTGTCAGATGCTAGCCCTGCTCCTTAGCACCAGTGCTCCACAACAGATAAGTATTAAAGCCATCAAATTCAGCCTGAGTGCACTTTAGTGCCAGGCTTCTGAATGAAAGAAAAAAAGAAACTTGAGAAAGCATAATCACCTATATGCAATCAATAAGACAAGTGGTAAGTTAAAAGTATCTTATTATTCCTCCAATGCTTGCCTATCTTTTCAGGTTTTTTAGTTCAAGTGAGAGTAAGGATGAGAATGCAGGGCAATGGCTAATCCATGTTACTAGTAAATCTTGGTAGATCTATAAGATGTTATGACCCACCAAGTGAGCCTTATATAGCCAGTCTTACATTAGGAAGAATGTTACCTACAAAGTACAGTTGTCATCCCTAATGAAGCCTGTGCTAAATGAAATGGCAAACTAGAAAAGACAATGAAGTATAGTCCTACAAAGTGACCTTTCAGAATTTCCCAAATGCTTAACCAACTACATAAATATTAAACATATCGTAATGGCTTTATTTAAGCTGGGAAAATAAATTATATAAGAAATATGTACTGGGAATTCTTAATATTTTCAGCATCTCAGGTGTCAATTCAGATTACTAAACACAACCTGAATCAGTTGCCACAAAAGTGATCTTAACTAGCACCTAAAACCTAGATTTGATCTGATCACATTTGAATGACTGAACATGCTCATATTTAAAGTATGTGTTCCCTAATTCAGAGACATGAAATTAAGTTTTTCAAATAATAATCATATTTTTATAACTGTTTAAGTTCCCCAAAGTGTCCTATCTATTGTCTCAGTTACCTGGAATAAGTACTAGAAATAAAAAAAGGAGGCACATTTCCTAAGTCTATAAATATGTAGTTATAGCCTTCTGAAAGAGCTTACTATTTTCAATACTCATACCAAATTACATGCTCATGATAGAAATTTCTATTTCATAAAAGAATGTGGTAAAAATTGATGATGTAAACCAGACCAATCTGTCAAGTAACATGGCATTCACAATGGCCTCGGGGCACAGCAGCTTCCAGCCATCCATCCCTGCAATGTGCACACAGAAAGGACATCCATTATGCTGCGTGCAACTTACCATTTAGATGGATGAAACTAGCACTAGACTCAATGTACAATACATATATTAACTTAAAAGGTTAATTCTCTGACTCGTGTTCTGGATACTGGAGCTGTGGAGGAAAACAAGTTATCTTTGCTCCGTAAATTACCTTCCAGTGAAACAAGATAAGGGAGGTGAGAAAGGGATATGTCTTTTATTTAGTTTCATTAGTTCAGACAGTGGGGATGCTCAGGGGCACCTTTCCAGTGTTTCATCCGTGGAGGCAGAGCTTCCCAGTGGTTAGGCACATGACCAGAAGTCAGATAGACTTCATTGAGTAATAGGGCTGCCACTTCAAAGTGAGAAGTGACACTGAACTCTCAGTTGTAGCTTCTTCACTGAAATGTGACATTATGTGAGGAATAATGAGACAGTGCCACAAGTACTGGGCATAGTACTCAAAATACACTGCTACAGGCTGCCCTGAGATCCTCACCAGGAGACATAAGCATGGAGCCTATCACCTCTATTTAGAAGTGTTTCTTCCTGACAGTCAGATTCCCTGAAAAGACATTGCTAGGAGTAAATAAAGAAGAAAAACCTATTGAGTACTTCTATTATTTTATAACCTAAAGTGTATATTTTATTTTATTGATTTGCTGGGGTAATTTAAAAAGTTAATTTATTTTCCAGTTGTAGATGATATACACTACTATATTAGTTTCAAGTGTACAAAATAGTGATTAGATATTTATATACCTTATTAAGTGATCACCCCGATAAGTCAAGTACACACCTGACACCATACATAGTCATTACAATACTAGAGGCCCAGTGCACAAAATTTGTGCACTGGAGGCGGGGGCATCCCTCAGCCAGGCCTACGTCCTCTCGCAGTCCAGGAACCCTCAAGGGATGTCTGGCTGCCGACTTAGGCCCACTCCCCATGGAGCGGGCCTAAGCCAGCAGTCAGACATCCCTCTTGCAGTCTGGGACCCCTCACTCCTTACCACCTTCCCGTCTGCTCACTGCTCCTTACTGCTTGCTGCTCCTTCCTTAGAGCTGACATGGAGGCAGGAGAGGCTCCCGCCACCACCTCTGCGCTTGCCAGCCATGAGCCTGGCTTCTGGCTGAGCGGCGCTCCCCCTGCGGGAGCGCACTGACCACCAGGGGGCAGCTCCTGCATTGAGCATCTGCCCCATGGTAGTCAGTACGCATCATAGTGACCAGTCGTTCTGGTCATTCCACCTTAACAGTTGCTTAGGATTTTATTATATAGACTAGAGGCCCATTGCATGAAGATTCGCACAATAGGCCTTCCTTCCCCCTGGCTGGCGGCACTGGTTTTCCTCTGGCACCTGGGACCCAGGTCTTTGCTCCGGCCGCAGCAAGGCTTGGCTTTTCTGCCGCGGCCGCAGCAGCAGGGCTTGGCTTCTCTGCCACGGCCGCAGCAGCGGGGTTTGGCTTCTCCGCTCCGGCTGCAGCGGAGAAGCCAAGCCTCTTCAGTCTTCAGTCATCTTCAGTCTTCCCTCCGAGCCTGCATATGGAAATTAACCACCATCTTTGTTGGGTTGATTTGCATACTCATCCTGATTGGCTGGTGGGTGTAGTGGAGTGACATCAATTTGCATGTTTCTCTTTTATTAGTGTAGATTATTGACTGTATACTCTATGCTGTAGTTTACATCCCCATGACTATTTTTATAACTGGCAATTTGTACTTCTTAATCTCTTTCATCTTTTTTCATCCATCTCGTCAACCCTCTCCCATCTGATGATAATCAATTTGTTTTCTGTATCTATGAGTTTGTTTTTGTTTCATTTGTTCATTTATTTTGTTCTTTAGATTCCACATATAAGTGAAATCATATGGTATTTGTCTTTCTCTGTCTGACTTATTTTACTTGGCATAATGCCTTCTAGATCCATCCATGTTGTTGCACCGATTGAGTACTTTTAGTTGCTGTGTCTCCATAGTGCTAAACATAGTATATGATCCTCTTCACAACTCTGAATGACACACTGTTTTTCCCACTTTATTTTTTACATGACAAATGGTGTTTCAGCAAAGCTTCCAACTAGTTAAATGGCCAAAGTGAGAGTCAAGTTGGTGTTTATCACATTCTAAATATAAATACAGCTAATATTTATTGAATAATTATGGCTTTGCTCTTTACACACATAATCTTACTAAATACTTAAAACAAACTTATGAATAAGTTAACACATTATCTCTATACTAACTAAAGAAACTGAGGCAAGTAGAGTTAAACAGTGAGAACACAAGGTTAATATGTTTAAGAGTCAGTATTTAAACCAAGACAGTATAAGAGAATAAGCTAGAATAATGAGGCAATTGGGTAAATTAAACATCCCCATTTTCTCATGGTTCAGAGGATTCTTAGTAATAAACACATTCTACTCTTTAATGACAAGTGTTTCTGATCAATGAGCGTGCCCACCTGCACACCGGCCCAGTCTCTCCCAGAAAAACTTAAAGAAGAAAGGAACAGAAAAGGAGAAATACAAAACCGTAACCCTGGGGAGAGGTGGCTGCAATGAACAGATATAGTCCTCAAAGGAAGCCTTGTATAGACCTTCACAATCTCTAAGATAATGTTCAGCCCCACAAGACTGAGGGGTAATAGTCTGACCTGAGACTCCATCCTCATTCCCACTCAGACATTTACAGCCTGGTATGCTGGCCTCCCTACCCCAACAGAAGAGATCCACATGGGTGTGCTCAACCCTCAGGTGTGTTTGGAGTGGCAGAACCTGGAAGCCCATGCTTTCTTAGGACCTCCTCATATCCCTCATAAAGATTCAACACAGGCCCAAATGGCATGGTTCAGTGGTGAGCATCAACCTATGAACTGGGAGGTCACAATTTGATTCCCAGTCGGGCCATATTCCTGGGTTGCAGACTTGATCCCCAGTGTGGGGTGTGCAGGAGGCAGCCTATCAATGATTCTCTCTCATTATTGATGTTTCTATCTCTCTCTCCCTCTCCCTTCCTCTCTGAAATCAATAAAAATATATTTTAAAAAAGATTCAACACAAAAATATTAATGGCTTATATTTATCCCACAACAGCCTTATAATCATGTTATTACCATTTCATAGAAGAGAAAATTGAAGCACTAAATGATGAAGGAACTTACCCCGTGACATTGCTAATTAACTGGCGGGCAGGTTGGACTGAGACAATGGGTCTCCAGAGCTCACTGTGCTGCCCTGAAAACCCCTTCTTTTAATGTTCCCCCCAATTCCTGAGGCTCCTGAGCAGAGACAAAGGAATTCTTTCACATATTAAAGGTGTTTATATATCTTTCCCAAGCCCCACCCCGACCCAACTACTCCCTATTTCCCCTCCCCTCCCTTTCCACACACACTACACAAACCTTATCTGTTGTTTAAAACAGAGCTTGGCCTGTCCTGGTCACTCCTGTGTAAATGCAGTGAGATTCCTGATAGGAAGGCCAGTAATCCCTAATAAAAGTCTGATAACAGTCTCTTAGGTGAGAGAGCAAACATATTACAGCCTATCAATGATTCTCTCTCATTATTGATGTTTCTATCTCTCTCTCCCTCTCCCTTCCTCTCTGAAATCAATAAAAATATATTTTAAAAAAGATTCAACACAAAAATATTAATGGCTTATATTTATCCCACAACAGCCTTATAATCATGTTATTACCATTTCATAGAAGAGAAAATTGAAGCACTAAATGATGAAGGAACTTACCCCGTGACATTGCTAATTAACTGGCGGGCAGGTTGGACTGAGACAATGGGTCTCCAGAGCTCACTGTGCTGCCCTGAAAACCCCTTCTTTTAATGTTCCCCCCAATTCCTGAGGCTCCTGAGCAGAGACAAAGGAATTCTTTCACATATTAAAGGTGTTTATATATCTTTCCCAAGCCCCACCCCGACCCAACTACTCCCTATTTCCCCTCCCCTCCCTTTCCACACACACTACACAAACCTTATCTGTTGTTTAAAACAGAGCTTGGCCTGTCCTGGTCACTCCTGTGTAAATGCAGTGAGATTCCTGATAGGAAGGCCAGTAATCCCTAATAAAAGTCTGATAACAGTCTCTTAGGTGAGAGAGCAAACATATTAGCTTTAGAGGAGAATGTACTCACTGAGTTAAAAATACACAGACAAAAGAAGATAGAAGGACCAGCATAAAATAGCAAATAAAATCATCCTAATTCCAGGCTGGATAACCACCTCAACAGAAAGCACACATTTGCCATTAGATTTATTAGCAGCAAGGACAACAAAGTCAAACAGCCAACTAAACATTTTACCTGCTTACCCACCTACAACGCCCAGCCACCTTTGTTTGCTTTACCCTTATTCCCTTTGAATCACCAAGGCCCAATCTCAATACCTTTTTCATTATAATAATATTATCTGATTCTTGCCTTGCTTCTTTGCAAATCATTTGCATAAACGGCACTTCATATATGAACTGAGTCATCAATACAACCCATAAAAGTAGTTCTCCCATTTCCCAGATTAGGAAACTGAGCTTCTGGGAGGTGACCCAGCTATCAGGGCAGGAACCTGATCTGATGCCAAAGCCAGTGCTGCTCCCATTCCACTAACTCCTGGCCCTCTGAGGGCCCCCTGCACACCTTTCCTTCTTTCTCCTGGCCGCCTGGTCTTGTGCGCTGCTGTGCCATCACCAAATCGGCTCCATCTCAGAATGTAAAATAGTTTGCAAATGCTCACACAACTAAAGGTATGCTCACTCTTAGCCTCTGTCAGATAGGCCCCTCTGATAAACCAGATAAAGAATCAAATTAGCATTTGCAGGCTCAAATAAATTAAAAGCACAGAGCATTAAAAAAAAGTCTATCCATATGAAAAAACAAACACACACACAAAAACCACACAAAAACAAAGACAGAAAAGAAAAAAAAAAGCCAACCCTCATGAATATACCCAACATAGTAATAGTGGTTCTCTCTGAGCAGTAGGATCATGGGTAATGCTCCTCACAGCAATACTCTATACTTTATAAATGTTCTATAATTACTGTCTATTACACTGTTGGATATAGGGAAAATGATTTTAAAAATGTTAAGTGATGAGCACACTGAAATGTTGAGTCTCTTAAGGACGAAAGGAAAGGGCAGACATTGGCCATGGGGGGACTTATTTTGCCCAGTCCTGAGCGTGAAGGTGACCCCACCATCCACAGAGCTAAGGGCAGAAACTGAGTCAATGGCTCCCTCTTTCCACCAGGAGCTGTGACTTCTGGGAAAGAGTCACCCCTCCCTAAGAGCTGCCAACCCTTCTCACATCTAAACACGCTGACTTGTACCAACAGAGAATGCCTATCCTCTAAAACAAGCTTTAGAGAGGGTTTGGATTTGGGCAGAGAGGGAGCTGCTTATTCCGCAGGCAGAGTTAATTATTTTGACCTAATGCTTTGCCATCCCCCCTGGTGTCAGGTCTCCGACTCAAAATTATCCCATAGGTCATCACACACTGTCTTTAAAAGCAAAATTTGAGATGGCACTGAAGGGTATACCCTAACTTTTCATAACTCTACAGTCGTGTCACTAACCGTGACACATGAAAGTCAGGTCATCAACTGGAAAGGTTTCTAGGTACAATACACGGAGCTTTTAGACCCAAATCAAACAACCTTTTGTTCCTTCGTTTGGGCAAACCTACTGGTATATTTTCCTCGGCGCGAAGACAGAAGGCTGGAAACAGAAAAGGTGTTTTAACGTGAGTGCTGTTTTCACAGGAGGAAATCCGACCTACCACCAAACGACTCATAAAAAGGGAGAAAAACGGATTCAG